AAAAAAAAAAAAAAAAAAAAAAAAAACCCAACAACAACAACAACAACAACGACCGCTGTGGCCTGACTACCACTCACTCCCGTAGTAATCTGGCTATGGTGCACTCCCTCCCCTCGTCAGATCACTGCGCGGAGCAGAGTGCTGGCACATGTCCCCAGCCCCAACTGCAACAGACTGCGTATCGGTCATCAGGGGGTGCGCACTTCGAAGGTTCTGTGCATTGCATGCATCCAGAGAGAAACCTCCCCTAGTGTGCGCGTTCTGGGTGCCCCATTTCTATTGGTGGGGAGCCACACCTTGCTGGAAAACGGGTCCAGCGTCCCATTTACAGAAACGATTCGAGAAGTTCGAATGTATATGTGAAAAGTCTGAGATCCTGGCTGCTTTATATATGTGGATATGAGAGATGAGAAAGGGAGTTGATGCTCTTGTCCATTCCTTCTATATACTGCGACTGTCTCCTCCTTCCTAAGTCTGGCTTGTGGTACTTCGATATAAACGTTTTTTTTTTCTTTTTTTTTTTCTTTTTTTTTTTCTTTTTTTTTTCCCCTTTTGAGGTACATATGGCAATTAGCAGTAACAATTCTTCCAATGGCATCGATAGATTTACTTAAAAGAAAAATATCTTTAAATATCATTAAAATATGTGAATTTTATTGCAAGCTGGGAACCGGGCCCAGCGTCCCTCACATCAATAGTTGTGGCCCACAGGGATGATCCAGACGTCGTTAGAAGTTAGAAGTTTTTTTTTTTTTTTTTTTACACAAAAAGGAGGACTATATCATATCATCACAGGCTGGGAAATGGGCCCAGCGTTCCTCACATCAATAACCACGGCCGGCAGGGATGAACCAGGCTCTCCGGCCTGGATTAACCCCACTCCGGCTGAGCACCCTTCAGCCTGCAACGTCACACCCTAATTAACTCTACTTAACATCACACCCTAATTAACACTAATTAACATCGCCAACCCTAACACTCAAACACAAACCCTAAACTCAGACCATCGAAATGGAAAACGCAACCAGAAATCTACATCTCCAACCCTAAACACTCAAGAAGACCTAACTAGCTCACAGGCAAAGAAACGAACGATTGAACCCTAGCTAGCTCACAGGCAAGGAAACGAAAACCAAGTACCCACTACACACACCAACGTGAACTAATTAACCGGGCCCATCGTTATAACTTTTATATGCTGGTGCTTCCGGGTTGTATGTGAAGATTCCCGGCCTCAAGGTCCTTCATTTGGAAATAAATTCTTAAAAGAAAAGGAAAAGAAAAGGGATTTTAAATTTTAATCATTTTATTAATTTTTATATGCTTGTCATGCGACGACTGGATATGCTTCTACACAATTTGGATATGTGGTTACCATTATTAATCCACCAGTACATGGGACCAGCTGTTGGCCGTGGAAAAAAATTGGAGTAGAAATGTTTCTAGTCCGATGAATTTGGGCGCTCCTGTAGTGGCCCTCACGTTTCCCAAAATTGTGGCGTTTGTTAACGGACACAACTTTAGGAAGTACTGGTGGGATTAAACTGCGTTTTTGTTCAAATTGAGTTTTCTTTTCTCCCATTTCGCAATTCGTAAAGACTTGTATTCTTTCTCAAGAAAAAAAAAAAAAAAAACAATAATAATAATAATAATAAATCGTGCAGGAGTAACCTGAAGAGATCATAAGGGCCATATTTTGGGATCATTCGTCCTTAAAAATGGTCCGTACTGGACAGGCCAGACGACCTCATGCAAGTATAAATAGCGAAATGGAAAAAAAACTTAAAAAAGTTGAAAAAAACTCAATTTTAACGAAAATGCCATTATTATTATTATATTCTGGGTGAGGACGGCGCCCGGCCGGGCTTGCCCGGGGGGGCCGCCCGGGCAAACCGGGCGGGCCGAAAAACACCCGAGAATTTTTTTTTTTCTTTTTCTGAAGGCGGGGTCTTTCCACGCTCGGCGAGAGGACCCCGAATCTGCAATAAAATTTTGGGTTGGGGGGGCTGGGGGGGGCTCTACATGCATGTTGCCTGCTGAATGCTGAATGCAGGTCATCTGATATGTGCAGTGTTGGGGGCTCTGCATGTTTGTTGCCTGCTACTGTGATGTCTGCTGCTTGCATGGCGAGATGGGATGGAAGAAGAAGGGATGGATGGCGAGATGTGATGGAAGAAGGAGGAAGAAGGAGGAGGAAGAAGGGAAGAAGATGGAGGAAGGAGGAGGAGGAAGGAGGAGGAGGAGGAAGGAGGAGGAGGAAGGAGGAGGAGGAGGAAGAAGGAGGAAGAAGGAGGAGGAGGAAGAAGGAGGAAGAAGGAGGAAGAAGAAGAAGGAAGAAGAAGAAGGAAGGAGGAGGAAGGAGGAGGAAGAAGAAGGATGGAGGAGGAGGAAGAAGGGATGGATGGCGAGATGGGATGGAGGGATGGATGGCGAGATGGGATGGAGGGATGGATGGCGAGATGTGATGGAAGAAGGAGGAAGAAGGAAGAGGAAGAAGAGGGAGGAAGAAGGAAGAGGAAGAAGAGGGAGGAAGAAGGAGGAGGAGGAAGAAGGAGGAAGAAGAAGAAGGAAAAAGAAGAAGGAAGAAGAAGAACCAGGAAGGGGGAGGAAGAAGAAGGAGAAGGAGGCGGAAGAAGGGATGGATGGCGAGATGGGATGGTGGGGTGGATGGCGAGATGTGACGGAAGAAGGAGGAGGAAGAAGGAGGGGGAGGAAGAAGGAGGAGGAAGAAGGAGGAGGAGGGGGAGGAGGACGGCCTTTTTTTTTTTTTTTTTCGTTCGCCGTTCGCGACAACTGCCTAAGGTCGCCGAAGATGTGCCCTGCCCCAAACAGCCAAAAGGCTGAAGAAGATAACGATCGCCGTTAACTGCCGAAGGTCGACTGATGCAAGAAGAAGAAGAAGAAGAAGAAGAAGAAGAAGAAGAAGAAGAAGAAGAAGAAGAAGAAGAAAAAGAAGAAGAAGAAGAAGAAGAATGGCAGCAGCTCCTGCGAACGGCGACGGGCGAGGGGGGCAGCTCCTGCAAACGGCGACGGGCGAAGGGGGCATCTCCTGCAAACGGCGACGGGCGACGACGACCGGCTCCAGCTGACGAAGACAACGAGCGGCGGGCGAGGAAGACGAGCTCCTGCGAACGGTGACGACGAATGATGGGCGAAGGGGGCAGCTCCAGCGAATAACCATGGGCTGCGCAACTTCGAAAGGCTGCGGGTCGAAGGGGGCAGCTCCAGCGAACACCCACGGACGGGCTGCAGGCAAGATCGCCGCCATTCAAATCTGGGCAGGAAACTTGCGACGGCTCTGTGGCCGTCAATCAAGGCCCGCCGCAATTTTCAAATCCACTCCCACAGGCCTATCGGGCCCGATGTCGCGGGTTTTCGGGCCGGTCGGATCCGGTAGGCCTGCGGGAGCCCACCAGCGTTCGAAATGGGGTCGAAAAACCCCGAAATACCCTGTGCGCTGGGGGGGCCCGGGGACCGATCGGGTGCACTGACCGGCCAGGCCGCCGGGGACCCCCCCCCGGGCCCCCGCCGGTCCGCCGGGCGGCCCGGAAAACTTACCCAGATTATATTATTATTGTTATTATTATTATTATTATTATTATTATTATTATTATTGTAAAAACCCATGTAGTAAGCCTCGCTGAAACCGAGACCCAGGCCAAAAAGGGGGAAAAAGACCCCAGTCAAGACTCAGGGCCTGGACGAGGCACAGTTGACAAAGTCAACTGCCGGAAATTCCAACAGTCAAAGTCCAAAGGTACCTAGCCCAGGCCGCAGGTCAAGCACACACACTTGTTTGTATGCAGGTACCCAGACAGCATCAGGTCCAAGGGAGAAGTCTGCAACTGTACAATCCGGGCCCTCAGCTGTGATTCAATCTGGACGACTGTGGGAAAATTACCCGAGGCCAGACAGCCTCGACATCTGTTACTTAAGGCCGACCTCGAGTAAGTCAAGCATTTAGTCTTGCTACGCTGCTTTGACGCTGGCTCCACTTTGACACGGCGCTGGCTTCATGCTGGTTGTGCACAAGCGTTGCGGACGACGGCACGAGGTGGAGGCAGCATGCTGGCGCTTCTTCAGTGCGCCATGCCATGCTGATGCGGCGCTGCCTCTGGTATACGTGGCGTTGCCTATGGTCTATGTGGCATGCTGATGTGGCGCTGCCTCTGGTATACGTGGTGCTGCCTATGGTCTATGTGGCATGCTGATGTGGCGCTGTCTCTGGTATACGTGGCGCTGCCTCTGGTCTACGTGGCATACTGATGTGGCGCTGCCTCTGGTCTACGTGGCATACTGATGTGGCGCTGCTACTGGTCTACATTGATGATAAGTGGCTATTGCCACCTGTTTCGATAGTTGACGTGGCATTGTCCACGCTGTCTACATGAGGTGACTGGTTGCAAGGAAGGAGGAAGATCGGGATCTGTGGTTGAGGGAGAACGGGTACTCACCTGGGTTTGAAGTCAATACTGTCTTCATGGTCTTCATGAGATTGAGTGCCACGTGGCACTTCCGTGTGTGATCAGGAATATACTTATTATCATTGTTGATGTGTAGAGGGGAGACGCCCGGAGAAGGAGACGGTTCAGAAGGGATTATTGTGTGATTTTTCATCTTCTCCTTTGTCTGCTCCCCCTCCACTCTCTTCTATTGATGATAATGAGATACTGTTTGTTGTATTTCTTCACGAATTGGAGACTGTGCTGCAGATACCGAGTCTACAGGTATTTGACGACTTCTGAGTATCTGTCAGACTGGGTTCATTACATTATTATTATTATTATTATTATTATTATTATTATTATTATTAGGGTTGTTGGCGTTCGGGTTCAGCCGAACTCCCGAACCCGAACCTGCCGAACGTTCGGGGCCCCATGGGGATGCGTTCGGCCGTTCGGGCCGAACGCGGACCTAAAAAATCATTTTAAAAAAATCCAGAAATTCCAAAAAACTGGAAAAAAAAATACATGTTATGCAAAATATTAAAACGAACAGCATTTGCCTCAGCATTACATCCGAATTCCTCACCAAATTTGAAATAAAATAAAAATACGAAAAACAAATAATAATAAGAAACATAAGAAAAAATGAAAAGAGAACTAAAATTAGTGAGTGGGCGAGCACGTTTTCGACTCCACCATCTTTGGCGACTGTTCATTTTTTCTTGGGATAGCCAGATGTGTATTTCACATAATATAAAGCTCATAAAAAAAGTTTCAAAAAATAATAAAATATGTGAGGCACCAAAATAAAATCAAAACAAAAAGTGAAAAGTGAAAAAAAAAAAAAAACTGAGTGGCCGAGCACGTTTTGACACCGCCATCTTTGGCGATGTTTCGTGGGTGTTTTGTTTTCTTGTGAAGGGGTGTGAACAGAGTCTGTAGAGTTTTCCATCTGGTGTGGGTGAGTGATAGTCTGCTTTGATTTTCGTCACAGGTACCTTGAGGGCAGTGGTTGGTGCCCACCTCAGGGTATCAGTTGTCGGGCAGTTGTGGATGCTTAACCACAACGGGGGTTAACGAAGGTGGATTATCACTTACAGTGTAATCAGTTAGGGGATTCGGCAGACTGTTGAGTGTTCAGCCTCCTGATGAGTAGGTAGGCGAAACTCCGACGAAACAGTTTGTCACAGCCCCTCCCTCGTTTGTTGTCCCCCTCTTCTCCCTCCCTCTCTGCCTACGGTTTACCGGCAGCTCTGTTTGATGTTATATATATTAATACTATTATATCAATTTATATGTCTTTTTTTTTTCTTTTTTGTTTTGCCGTTTGTTTTGCAAAGTGCGCTCTTTTAGTTCATAGTTGTGTGACGATAACTGTAGTCATATACATATATTTGGCAGGGCCGGGCAAGTGGTCCCGGTCACTCTGATAGCCTAGTTTTTTATTCATTTTTATAATTTATATATTTATAAATCTTATATTATTTTGTTATTTTATTATTATTATTTTGAATGATGAGAGGCAGCATGGAGCAGCTTCTCCTGAAATACTTCCATGGAATGATGGGCTACATTTTGGTCTAGCAGGCCACCAAGTATTCAATGCCTTTTTCTTTGTGTCCCTTTTCTTCTTTGTCTGGTTGTCGTTGACCACCTTCTTTTCCGTCTATTCCTTGTCCTCCAGGGTAGAACATTCTGTTCTTGTCCGTGAGAAACACGTTCTTGAGAGGCAGCAACACCTATTGAAAATGGAGAAAAAGGCAAGACACACATGGTCTCACACGCATGAAATCACCAGGCGCGTTGGACTCTTGCAGGCACAGTACGACGCCTACTATTGCATAACACACAAACAAGGTATACTTCTCCTCCCGTGCAACCAACCTCCTTTTGCCCTTCTCCTCCTCCTCCTCCTCCTCCTCCTGCTGCTGCTGCTGCTGCTGCTGCAGTTAACTCTTGTTTGTAAAGGCTTCAGTAAACTCTGGAGTTAACTCTGGTCAGTGCAATGAGCTCTGACCAGTAGCAGCAGCAGCAGCAGGAGGAAGAGGAGGAGGAGGAGGAGGAGGAGGAGCAATCATTTAACTCTTGTTAATGCAAGCCTCAGCCAACTCTGGAGTTGACTCTGGTCAGTGCATTCGACTCTGGTTAGTGAAGTCAACTCTTCTCAGTACAGTCGTCAGTCGACTCTCTGATCAGCGCAGACCTCAGTCAAATCCAGAATTAACTTTGGTCAGTGCAGTCAACTCTTGTCAATACTGTTATCAGTCAACTCTTGTCAATGCAGTTATCAGCTGCGAATCATCTGACAAGTCATTCACGATTACACGCACACGTAGTACACACAATCGATCGTAGTCAAAACACAGAGTGGTTGACAAGTCAAAAGTCAACAAACAGTTGACTCTGAAGTCAACAGTCAACAAACAGTTGACTCTGGTCAGAGAAGGCTTCAGTCAACTGACCAGAGTTAATTCCCGTGAGCACTGTCAACTCTGGTTAGAGCAGGCCTCAGTCAACAGTGGAGTGAACTCTAGTCAGCGTGGTCAACGCTGGTCTGTGCGGTCAACTCTGGTTTGTGCGGTCCAGTCTGGTCAGCGCAGACATCAGTCAACTACATACATACATATATACATATGTACATATGTACATACAAACAGATAAGCATACATACATACATACATACATACATACAAGCATGCATGTAGACATATACACACAGACAGACAATCATGCATGTAGACATATCTACATACATACGTACGTACATACATACCGACATAGTACACACGTACACATTCGAGTTGGGAAAGAGAGGGAAAGAGATGTCAGCTCATTGCCATCTAGCTCTTGATGACAATGAATTACAACAAGGATAATAAGGAGGAGCAGGACAAGGAGAAGCGGAAGATGATTTGTTTATGATGGTGAGAGGAGGAGGGTGGCGGGTTATGAAACCAGATGATGATGGATGTTGACTCTATGGCGATGAAGGATGATGGTGGACTCATCCTTGGACGAGCAAGAGGACGTAACAGAGGAGGAGGAGGAGGAGGAGGAGGAGGAGGAGGAGGAATTCAAGCAAGTATCAGAACCTTGCCCCGGATGTCTGTCCTGACAAATGGTTCCTGCCTTTTTTCTAACCCCCCGTCTTTCAATAACTCTCCATTTCTCTTTTTTTTGTGAATTGCAGCCGTCTCAAAGGACCCGTTGATCGATTACCACACACAGCACCTGATGTTGCGGAGAAGGCTGATCACTATAGGTACGTTTCTTTTTCCTGCTATATTAACAAATCAGAGATTGAAAAAAAAAACGCATTTAGAGTCCTTCCTGGCATGTGACAATGGACTCTCGCAAAGACACATACAGTAAAGGAGACCTGAAAGAAAAGGGGGGGGGGGAGGGAGGGGGAGGGGGAGGGAAAGGAAAGGAAAAAAAAGGAGAAACCGTGAAAAGAACTTTAAAAAAGCCATGAGAAAGAAAGAAAAGAAAAACGGTATGGAAAAGGCAAAATTAACTTCCTCTTTTTTTCTTTTTTTCTTTTTTTTTTTGTACCATGGTCACATGGTGCCATCTTGAGATGAACCCCCCTGGGTCCCCCACAGTCTATCTGACCCCTCTCAATGGATGAGTACTACAGGCACCTCCTGCGGCTTGGCCAGGTGCCACCACCCTCTACTACAGCCTGGACCTTTGAAAAGAAAAAGAAAATAACTTTTTCTTTTTTTTTTTTTCTTTTTTTTTTGAGTGTGTTGCTTTTTTTTATATTACTGGGACTATTTCTGAAGCAATTTGGCCATTGCTTGTCATTTCCATCATAACGACTGAATGGGACGCTGGACCTGGTTTCAAGCATCAGCCTAAGCTGGGTAATGGGCCCAGTCCCGGTAGAATTGTGAGGTCCCCGGCCTGGTTTCCAGTTCTTTTTTATTTTATTATTTTTTTTTTTTTTTTTTTTATTTTTTTTTTTTTTTTTTTTTTTTTTTTTTTTTTTTTTTTTTTTTTT